GATACAAACTAGAAAATAAAAACTTTAATATAAGGAAAATAGAAACATAGTAGACAGGACATAAAAAAAAAAAAAAACATAAGATTAACTGGTGTGGACATTTCCATCACCAATCAGGAAGTCTATCCTTCCATCACGATCATCAAAAAAATCTGATACATCCATATTGGTGATGTTAACTGGCTCATCATGATTAATGAAATTCATTTCTAGATTTGTGGTGTCAACTGGCTCATCATGATCAAGGAAATTCATTTCCTTTTGTTTTCCTTTTTCTTTCATTGAGGCTTGGTAAAGATCAACCAGATGCTTCGGTGTACGATAAATACTTTGTCAATACCCTGTCATGCCACACCGATAACAAGTATTATCATGAGCCTTGGAAGGTTGAGCCACATCCTTCCCTTTTACTTGTCTCATTTCATTATAATCTTTCCTTTGAGGATATGGTGTAGATCTCTGATTGCGAAAATGTGAGGATTGATATCCTTCACGATAATAAGAATGATTTCTACCACTACCATATTCATTAGTATGGTAGTTATTTTTACCACGACCATATTCATTTCTACCCACACGACCATGTCCACGTCTGCGTCCACGACCACGGGATGAGGCAACATATGTTTCAGGGATCGGTGTCGATCCAGTTGGACGGCACTGGTGGTTTCTCAACAAAAGCTCATTATTTTGCTCTCCCACAAGCAAACATGATATCAGCTCTGAATATTTTTTAAATCTACGCTCTCGATATTGTTGTTGCAAGAGTATATTCGAGGCGTGAAATGTGGTGAATGTTTTTTTTAGCAAAAGTTCATCAGTAACAGTATCACCGCATAATTTCAATGTAGAGCTGATTTTGAATAGAGCAGAGTTATATTCAGCCAAAGTTTTAAAATCTTACAACCTCAGTTGCAGCCAATCAGCCCTGGCCTTTGGGAGGATGACTGTTTTTTTATGATCATATCTTTCTTTCAAATTATTCCACAAACAAAGTGGATTTCTTTCAGTGAGGTATTCAGTTTTCAGTTCCTCACTAATATGGCGCCGGAGAAAAATCATGACCTTTGCTTTATCTTACAATGATGCCTCATTGTTTTATTTAATTGTGTCACCAAGGCCCATGGCATCCAAATGGATCTGAGCACCTAGAATCCAAGATAAATAATTTTTGCCAGAAATATCCAGGGCCACGAATTCCAGCTTTGTCAAATTTGACATTTTCAGAATAACTAGATGTGACAACAATATAAAAATATAATTTAGCATATAAATAAAATGGAATTAAAATGAAATAATAACATAATATAAATTATTTAAACAACGATAATGGTCAATCCAGTCATTATAAATAAATTATTAAACAATAAAGGCGGTAAAACCAGCCATAAAATATTAAATAATAAAGGTGGTAAGACCGACCATAATTAGTAAATTATTAAATAATAAAGGTGGTAGAACCGACCATAGTGTAAGCATATATATCATTTAAGTGAACAACTTTATTTTACTAACAATAATCCATAATTAAAATTTCCTTACCTTTTGGAGTTAGAAATATTATTTTCTCCGATAAAGCAAACCAACCCAACAATCTATCAAAACTAATATCACAAAATAGAAATATAGTTGGGATAGAAAGAGGGAGAGAGAGCTTTCTTTTTCAAATCTCAGATGGATAACTCATGCTGATGACGTATAATAAATATGTGTGTGTGAATATATATATAGTAATATAAAGAGATGGAGAGAGATAACCAAAAAGAGAGAAAGAATAGAATTTTTGTTTTATACCAACACCCACACCACGCTGTATGCATGAATGCCCATATATATAGGCGCTGTAATTGGCTTCTCAAAGAAGCCACAATTGAAATCTTCCTCTGTAAGCTTTACATGGTGATGTCATGGATGACATACATTTATTGTGGGCCCCACTTCCATTATACATAACAGAGAGAAAATTAAACAAAGATCTACAATGAGATAAAAAATAATAAAATAAAAAGTTTTCTTTTATTCACTTGTCAAGTACATCTCACAAGCACAAGTTTACAGGATATATATCTAGGCCTGATCACGGTTCGGATCGGTTCGGTTTAAGGATAAAGATCAAGCCGAAACGGTCCCCACGGATTGGTGAAAATTGAAACCGAACCGATCCGTGGGGACCTTCAATCCGAACCAAACCGATCCGTGAATTAACGATCGGATCGGATCGGTTTTCACGGATTATGGCCCATTAACAGCCTGATACAACTACATTTGGCTTCTTTCAAGTCAGCATTCTGAAATATAGATTTCTGAATTTAAATAATGCAATACACAAGAATGTAATTGGTATTGTTTTTTTTAGGTAAAATGTAATTGGTATTGTTTATCTTTCCTTCTCTTCAATTTTCGCAGCAACCAAACAGAAAGTTGAGGAAATTCAAGCATACAGGCAATATAGTTGCAGATCTACACCAAATTCACCAATAGCAAATGAAATTCAACATATGTAACATACACACATATTTATATCTGTAACATATATATATATATATATGTATCTACAGATATAAATAAATATATAAATATTACTTGATATATGAACGGCCATCATGATTTGATGATGGGATCGAATTGTCGGTGAGAGCAACGGCGGAGAGAGAAGCAACGATGCCTTCAATGCCGCCAGAGAGAAGGAAAGCATTGTCGACTTCTGTAAAAGAATCTTGGTCGTAGATGTGGACAAAGGCATGAGCTGATCCATTGGCTGATATTAAGAGGGCAGCACTGATAGTGAAGAGAGTTGGAATAGCTTTAAAACCCACGTCCTAGATCTAGAGAGAGAAAGTAGAAAGAGAAGGGATCGACGAATTTGATGGAGTTTTTACAGGAGTGGGAAAGCGAGCTCCGAGGTAAATGCCAGTGAGAGAGGTCATGGACTTGAAGTATGTAACGCCAGGAAGAGAGAAGAGGCTGAGGGAGGCACGGCTGTAATGGAATGAGATGGGAGCTAGGGTTATTTGGGAGATAGGTAAGTAATAAGTATATTTAATATTATATATATATATATATATATAAATATATTACTAACGGTTCGGACCGGTTCGGATCGGTTCTTTCAGGGTCCCAATCCGTTAACCGAATCGCGAATACCGGATTGCAAAGTTTTTCAAACCATCACCAAACCATGAGATCTAAAAACCGAACCAAACCACACGGATCGGATTGGTTCGGACCGGATTGACGAATTGACGGATTATTTGCTCACCACTATATATATCTACTTGACAAGAGAATAAAAGAAGACTTTTCATTTTATTATTTTCTATCTCATTGTTGATCTTTGTCTTATATATATATATATATATATAACTTTAAAAATGGACTTCTTCGTGAGTTACTAATTAAGAAACTTTTTTCAGAAGTTAGATATGAAACTTCCTTTGTAAGCTGAGTAATGTAAGTTAATATTTGCGGTAAATATGAGTGGAACCCACTCGTATATATTCTTGATTTTCAGCTTTTCAGTTTTGACAAACTTACGTGGTGGCTAAACATAGTTTGCAAATTTAACCGAAAACATCTATTCTCAGATTCGTCTTTTCTTCATTAAAGCTCCAACAGACGCAATTGTAGCCGATCGATTCGCTCTCTCCATCGATTCTCTCTCTCTTTCAGGTATATTATTTTCTTTTTGCCCCTTTTTGGGAACCCTAATAACAACTGAGTTGTTAGTAGTAGCAACGGTATGTATTTGCCGGTTTATAGTGATTGACAAAATGTCCATGTTGCATCCAATATGTTATGTATTTTTGTATATTTTGTTGTGTAATTGTGCTTATTTGATGATAGTATGATAAATTGGAAGTTAGACTTTTTATTTTTATTTTTTTTATAATAAAATAAATTGAGACCATCGGAGACATGTGGCCTCTGTTGCTGTTTCTGTTTTAATTATGATGATGCAAAATTATATGCCAAGGATGGGAGGTACCATACTGGTAAAGAATTCTGATATTATTTGACACTCAAAGTACATGTAGAATCTTTGTATTGGTGATGAAAAAGAAGAACACCTCCGTGACTTGAGTATTTGAGAAGCTATAATCAAAACGAAATTAAAGACATTACTTATTCAGTAAAAAAGAAAAATTTTGAATGACGTTTTCTCTTTCTCTTCACATCTTTTTCTTTTACAAGTTAACCGTAAGTGTCTCTTAATTTATTTGTTCTTTCTTTGTTTTTTGATATTTCATCTGTTGTCTATCCAATTCACTTGCCATTTATATTATGGTCCATCCTTGTGCTAAGGTTTTCAAAGAAAATTAAAAATTGAAAAATAAAATAAAATAAAATATAACATTCAGAGATTCTGGAGCCGGATACTTAGACACCTAGCACCCAAGCCATACAGATAAGTAAAACTGCAGATAGGTGCTAGTCAGTCAGAGTTGTGATTTTTTTGGTCATCTTGGAGTATAACAATTTGGAGAATGATATTATCTTTTACTTAGTCAATTCAAGTTAATTGCATGACTCACTTCGCTGGTTTTATTGAGTATTTTATCTTTTTGGTCTTAATAAGATACGTAAATTGATGAATTACAGGCTTCAGTGAAATGTCTATTAGAAAATATTGAATGCGCTGAAAGGGGTTGTGGGTGACCTAAATGGAGATGCACGTAACGCTTTTATCAAGTTTTTTTTTTTTTTGGGGGTCTGGTAAGTACTCACACACACTTTTGCCCACCACAGGGCTCGAACCCAATGTGGAGGTTATACCAATGGGCTAGAAGGCCTTTGGTCGCTTTTATTAGAGTTGGTCTTCAACTGGTCTTCAACTGGCTAAAAGAATATGACAGGTTTTTTTACTCATCAAGAATGGATAGGATATGGATTATGGATACAGGAGCATGATTTAGACAACAATTTGCTCTGTTATAAGACAAGCAAATGGGACACCTATAGAGGAAGTCCCTTGATGCTTGAATTTGAATCTAAGCAGTGGATAATGGAACAAACAGGATAGAGCTTTTTAAAAAAATTAATAAATTAAATTGAATCCTGAAGAATTCCTTTCTCTATCAAATATTTTTTATGCAAACATGTCTGTTAAGACATCTCTGAATAAATACTAAACAAAAGAGAACTTTATCAACATCACTTTTTGAAATTAAAACTAGTTGAGGAAAGCCTTACTCATCTGCAATATTTCTAAGATCTTCTCTTTTGTTCTTACATACAAGGCTGGGGTTACTTCATAATGTGATTTACAATTTCTTTCTGGGACCATCAAGAACTTCTCTCAAGCTGAACAAAGATGAGCTAAGTGGAAGAATAGCCATGAAGATCTATATCATCCCTGTCATCTTTCAGTCTGATTTTTCAAATTGATGTAAGCTTGGTATGCGTACAAGCAACTTATGCTTTGTTTACGAATACCATTGAGTTTCTTGGATATCTTTGCTGTTAACACTGAATTCGTTGGTCTCTTGCTTTGTGGATGACACACCTGATTCTTCTATCAGCATACTTGATAAACTTTCACAGAACTGGTCACCATGATCAGGTAAGCACAATAAGTAATCATGGATCCACAAATAAAATCAGCTTTCGGAAAGGAGCGTAATACCTCTTTGTACAATCCCAGCTCTCCTGCAGATTTTGATATTTCTATGACACAATGTGTGGGTGCTACCTCAATTACCTGAGTGTTGCCACATACAAAGGTTAGAATCTGATGTCCTGCAATGCAGAAAGAGTATAGTATACACCAATTATTTACCTCTGCTTTTAGGTTGAAACATGATCTAGAACATCTGGTCATCTTCTGCTTTGGGTGCATTTTCACCTGGCATTCTCTAAGAGGAGTCATTAGCTGAACAGGAACATGAGCTACACACTTGGTTAAAAATTTACAGTTTTATGTAAATTGTACCTTAGACTTGTTCATCCTTTCTACCGAGAGACTCACATCATTTGCAGCAGCTTCAATTTTCTCTAATGTTTCATTGATTGTATGCTTGGATCCAAGTGTTATTTTCTGTTTTTCATTGTCCTAAATTGAAATGAAGTTTACCAATTTTTTTTTTTAAAAGAGGAAACCTTTGTAGCAGTCAACTAAGGTTTTTGATATATACACACTTACCTTTTCTTCAAAGAGGCCTGATAAATCAAGGTCCTGAGACATTGCTATTAGCTGGAAAGCATTGATGAAACTTGAATTATGGGGTATCTTTGTCTCTGTCTCATTTTCCTGCACACCAATATGATATATTTAGGTAAAATTATGAAACTCTCTATGTTAATCTTCAAGTAGTCATTACCTTAATTGAATTGAAAGATACATGAACATCATCCAAGTCGATATTTTCATCAGATTCAATCCGCACAGCAGGCTCATAATTTGTTTGGAACCACCGATCTTCGATAATCTCCGGTATTGTTATTCTCTGCAGTGAGATACAGAAATTATTGCATTTTTCATTTTTTTTCCAGATAATTTGCTTTTTGTTTGGTATTACAATGTTTTAGGCTCTACCGTTTTGGGATTTGGATCAAGTATCCTGGAGATTAGCCTCTTCTGACTTTCTGTAAACCACGCTGGAAATCTGTATTCTGCATTGAATATCTTTGTGCATATACAGGTGTCAGATATGGTTAAATCTTCTGAATAGAAAACTTAATTAGGCTTGAAACTTACCTTCCTATACAAATTCATCAGGTTAGGGTCATCAAAAGCTAGATAACCAGCAAGTAATTCAAAAAGGATAACTCCACAGGACCAAACATCTGCGGCTGCTCCCTCATAGCCCTTGTTTGTAAGCAGCTGTTCACCAATTAATATAGCATCAGCCATGGGATTGAAGAGAATTCAGGTATGTTGTGTTCATTAGGAATGGTTTAGCTTGTGTCTGTTTTTTTCTTTTTTAGTTCTTTCTTCTCGTTGTATGGCATCCCCTTCCTTTTGAAGCATTGAACTTAATTAATGAGGAAAAAGTGGATAGAATTATTTCTTACCTCTGGTGCTACGTAGCTTGGAGAGCCACATGCTGTAGATAGCAGGTTTCCTGGCTGTTAGCCATAAGATTATCAGGGAAGATTTCATAGAATATTGAATGTGTGTGTGTGTGTGTGTGTTTGTGTTTGTGTTTGTGCCTCGTGAAAACTTAGCAAATAGAAACCAACACAATGAAATTAAATCAGGTGTTGCTACCTTCCGCAAAGCACTGAGTCCAAAATCAGATACTTTAAGATTTCCCTTATTGTCCAAAAGCAAATTTTGTGGCTGTACATGAAATGCAAGATCCAAGTAAATTTCAGCAGTTCTCTTGTGGAGAATTGTGAATAGAAAGGATGAGAGTTTCATTCTGACCTTTAGATCTCTGTGATAAACCCCTCTGCAATGGCAATAATCCACAGCATCAATTAACTGCTGAAAGTGTTTCCTAGCCTCCTTCTCACATAACTTTTTAACATAAGACTGGAAAGGAAAAGGTTAAAAGGGGATTAAACTCCTAGCAGAGAAGTTATCCCAAAAATTAGTTTTCAATCCCAGTGGCAGTGTATGATATTTGAATCTCACCATCTTGTCAGAGAGCTGCCCTCCAGATACATATTCCATTACAATGTAAATCTTAGTCTTTGTGCCAAGAACCTTGCAAAATAACACAAGAATTTCCAATTCAACAAAACTCTGTAGAACAATTTCTATACTTACCTGTTCCAAAGCTGGCTGACATATATACCTCATGTATTCTCACTATGTTAGGGTGATGCAGAAGCTTCATTGTTCTGATTTCTCTCTGTACCTGAATATAGAACTCAAAAGATCGAATTAGAAAGATACAAAAATTGAAATCAACCTTTGATCAATCATTATATGCGTATTCAACTCGACAGATGAAGAACACACGAAAGAAACAGTAAGAGACAAAGAGATGGAAGGGTTGGGAATTCACCTGAATCATGAGATTGTGTTCCATGACCGAGTTCTTGTCGATGATCTTGATTGCCACGTGCTGGCCGTTGACACAGTTCATGGCCAGTTTAACCTTAGCAAAAGTACCTTCACCGATTGTTCTACCAAGTTGGTAGTTCCCAATGCTATTTGCATATCCCATTCGATCTCCGAAACAAATCCAATACCCTCCTCTTCTCTGCTTTTATTTTTATAATGACCTTGAAAAAAGTATACTTCCTACACTTATTGCAGAAGTCCCTTGTATATCCTGAACTTGGAAGCCGCTTAATTGATTGATTCACTTTTGAAGATGTTTGCTTCTTTTTATTTAATTCAGCTGCCATGTTTGTGGATCTCCTGTCATTTAAATAGGAGAGAGCTTATGGGGTAGTCAGATTTTGTGGTTTGGATGTTTTTTTGGAGTAAAATAGTAAAAAATAAATAAATAATAATAATAATAATAATAATAATAATAAAAGAGTCCAAATGCATGTGTTTTTGTGGCAAGAGTAGGAGGGGGATGACTAGTAGTAAATTGCCGTTGAGTTGGTCAAGTGGATTTGCTTGTTTTGAATGGAAGGTGGTGGTGGTGGTGGTGGTTGTGTAGCTTTTGATCGGATGCCCACGGATAGATATATTATTGGTGACACATTATTGTGGAAATTATTTGAATTAAACACCCAATAGTCAAACACCACCTAAAACAATTAATTATATCAAATTAATGTAATTGAATCTATTCGAAAAGAAAACACCGCTGCTTTTGTCCTCAATGATCTGTATTATGTCTCAGCCATGACGATAAAGTGTTTGTCATTTTGCAGCCAAACCCAGTTTAAAAAATGGTGAGCGAAATAAATTTCTGATATCTATATTCATTTTAAATATAATAATTAGCTTTCAGAACTATTTTCTTACATTTTTCTAGAGGTAGTTCTTAAGTTTATCAGCCGGGGGTGGTTGTAACTTGTAAGAGGCTACTGTAACGGCGTGACGCTAGTACTATGTGTCTATGGTCTATTGTCAAATTTAAATTCACATTATTGATAAGTTTTTAAAAGATTTAGTTAGAAAGTGAAACAAAAAAACAGAATTTTTGCAATATTATTGAAAAGATTTGAACGTGATGTTGGTGATGATCACAGGACCAGGTCTTGGTGACCTCTCTGTGTCTCTCTTGTATAATTGACATAGTTTGTAAGATGTCCATGGTCCATAGTCCATACAAGTTGTGGGGGCAATCATCATGCGTTGAAGCTGGTAGCACGTGGTGTTTGTTTGTTGAGTTAGGTCCACACAAGTTTGGGGGGGGTAAGTGGGTACGTAATTTCTAATACAAGCATATACTACCATGTCACCCCGTTTGATGGCAGTGGCAGCCACAAAGCCAGCTAACTTGGGTTTTTTTTTTGGGGGGAGAGATGGATAAGCTAAACCTCTATTGTTACATTCTTGCCTTGAGTCTGTGTGTTTATATATATATTATGGGTCTTTCTTAAAAGTATTGGCCAATTCTTGAAGAAATTTGAAATACCACCAAATCTTTTACCTATTTTTTGTCACTCTGCATCCCATATTAGTAGTCCATTTTTTTTTTAATGTCCAAATTAGATGTCCCATTTGAAAAGTGAACCCAAATAACTGTTATATTTTCATAATTGTCATTTAAATTTTCAAAAATCTTTTAACTTATAATATACATATTTAAACATGAAACTTAGTAACTTTGTAATTTTAAGAGTGGACAATGCATTAGTTGCATGTTCCTCTAAAAAGTTACTACTACTACTATCAAAGTTGGATAATTAATATGCAACAGAGATGTATTTTAATGATAATTGATAAAAGATTTTTGTTCTAATGCACCCAAAAAAGTTTTTAGATCAAAGGATAAATAAAATTTTCTTCTAGTCATTGTGGTGGAATACTTTTTATTCAACCTAAAAATTTGAATTATTGAATAGTCCTGCTTACCGTCTTTATAAGCATAAAATTCTCTTCATTTGAATTCAAGGTAGAAGAAAAACCTTCTGAAAGTACCCTCAAGAACCATCATGTGCTATATTTTGCAACTGATATAGGGACATTTATCTATTAATTTGCACCACAAGCAAAACAGTCAAATAATTATATGCCTTGTTTTATGGACAATACTGGTATGTGGGCTAATAAAAAAATGGACACATGTTCTAAAACTTATATAATATTAGAAAAAAGGGGAAGGGCAGGGGAGGGGTTGTTTTTTTAAGGGCAAATAACACTCTCACTCGTTCTATACAAAAATAAAAAAATAAAAAAAAATATTATGTCAATTTAGTAAATAAAATGTCTAAAATAACGCGAGAGCGGGCTCCAACAATTAAGAACAGACAGTCATGCTGACCAAAGGAAATCGATGGCTGTAGCAGATTCTTACGAGTGAGATTCCGGCAGTCGTCACCTCCGCTTCACGTCGTTCATCCGGAATAGTCCATCATAGCCGTCAAGGTCTTGATTTGTGGCAGTGCATCGCCACCGGAAATTGCAGTCATCCATGCTCGCCGTTGTTCGCCGCCGCCATTTGTTTCTAGCCGGCAAGTCCAGTGCACTTCCGACCTTGCTTCATTGTTGTTTAGTCTCGGTAGTTCAGTCCCGCATCACCGTTCAGAACAGTTCGTCACCGTCGTCAAAGTCTTTGCTTCGTCGCACATCGTCACCGGAAAATCGAAGTCATCTGTGCTCGTCGTTGTTCGCCATTACCGTTCATTTCTAGCCGGCAAGTTCAGTGCACTACCGACCTTGCTTCCTTGCTGTTTAATCTCGGTTAAGTCCAGCATTGCCATCTTTCTTGCTCACTGCCGCAGGTTCATCCCCGCAACTTCACCGCCGGCATGCTTGTTCAACTTCTTCACTGCCGAACAATTCCTTGTGCGCTCATCGCTGGGTTTTTCCTCGGTCTCGCTGTTCAGACAAGCACATCGACGCTAGAGCCATCCTTGCGTCCTAGATAGGATTCATCCTTATTCGTCGCCGCCATCCGCTTCTCGGCGACAAGAATAGTGCTTTCACAGACTGAACCGGGTGCTTGTGACTTTAAAGAGAGAAATGATAGAGAAAAAATAAAAATAAAATTGTTTCCTACATCATCAAAGGGTGTTTTGGGATTTATTATTATTTTTTTTTTTTAAAATGATTAAAATTGATGATTAGGGGACAATTTGCTCTAAAGATAGATTATACAACTATATGCACTTTTTTTTCTAATAAGAGTATTTTTTTTGCACATCTTCTATATAGTGAGGGGTTTTTTGCATTTAACCTTAAAAAAATAAAAATTGTGTTAGATCCAATCTAAACGGGTTAACCGAGTAAAAATCTAACCAAGTAATTCCCTTTATCGCAAATTTGCCGTCCCAAAACCACCGCAGACCCGATTTGTTGAACTTGTCTATAATTTTTTTATTCCCTTCGTCTTAAATTATATGTCCCTTCTCCAAGAATTTAACTTTTTAAGATGATGGGTTTAAATATTTTTTTTATTGTATTGGTAGTGAATAAATTATCAAATACATTCAGAATGAGTCGTGTCCACGAGATGGTGATGGTTTACTTTTTAGGACAATGCTTATGTCTAACCCAGGTTAGAATGAACTTTTTCCAACCTGCTGACGTGCCCCAATAAATTTAAAATAAGTATCTAAAAGTAAAAGTTAAGATTAAGTTGGGTATTGCCCAACTATTCAGGCTTAACCCATTTATGTTATTTTGTAATCAAGCGACGTGAACAGTTCTTGCAAACCTCCATTAACTCCAACGTCAAGTTTCAAACAGGTGGCAGTTCAGAACTTAAGCAACTCAGTCCGACGAATGAGCAAAGCTTCAAGTAACGAAACACAGCTCGAAAATTGTGTGAAGGGAATTCGGTGGTGGTGAAGAACTGAACGGCGGCGGATATGTGGTCGGCAAATTTGAACCGTCAAGAATGGATGATTGAACGGAACAACGGATAGTGGACATGAACCAACGATAAAGAGGTGAGCAAAGATGGTCAGCAATGGCGATGCGGCGGCAACATTAAATAGAACTGGTGAGAAGCAAGGTTGCTTTTACCCGCGTGCAAGAACGACGTGATAAGCTCAGCAAAGACGGCGGGCGACTGTGGACTGAGCTTGGTGATGATGAGCTCGAAGTTAGGCTGGCGAACTCAGATGATGGAGGTGAAGAAATAGAGGTGAACAATATAGATGGTCTTTATTGGAGAGGAAAAAAAAATCTCACAGCAATGAGTTAAACCCGAATAATTGGACAATACTCAATTTAATTTTAACTTTTGTTTTTGGGCACTTATTTTAAATCTATTGAGTTACTTCCGTAGGTTAGATGAAATTCATTCAACCTGGCTTGGACATAAGCATTGTCCAAGTCTTTTTATATTAAATTGGTAATGTTACCCAAAAAAAATAAAAAAGTAATAATATTTGGACTTTTTAAATGAAACATTTATTTTGAGATAGAAAAATAATCAAAAATAAAAACTTGAACATTTAATTTGCTACTGAGGAAATATTTAATAATGGAACCCTATTATATATATATGGTGGGTTATGGTCTCCAGCTTGTTTCGCGGCAGAGCAATAGCAATTAAAGCAATTAGCATGCACGCGGATAGTAAACAGTGTGTTGGGAGAATTCAAAGACAATTTGATTTTGATTTGATGGCTTGTCTTGTTTTATTTTGAGGGCTTCTCGTAAGAAGCTAGAGACCAAGCTTAATAAGATAGCAAGTCCAATTTGGCAGGCAGGGATAGCTAGGCTCATTAATCATTTACCGGTAGGTTGTTTGAAAAAAAAAAAAAAAAAAAGAAAAAAATCATTCACTGGTAGGTGACCAGACAAGCCTTAATCCCAACATTATTGGATTTGGAATTTTGGATGGGGAACTCAGAGCCTCATACTTGAGCCGGTGGAGGTTGTCGTCCTTCACCAGCATTAGCCTTCCTCATAAAAGGGCCAAGTATATATCACCTATGACCATGACTATTATCTGAGCTGAAAGTCTAAAATTATCCTTTCAGTATTCCATATATATTTTTTGCCCATCTCATACCCTTTCAGTATTACATATATCAGCATGTGGGATCCATCTCTCTCTAGTCAATTTTTCATATCCTCCTACCCCATATATCTCCAAACTCTTCCTTAAATATTCAGCACTTTCTCTATCAATCTCCACCATAACAACACAAAAACACTATAGTCGCCCATGGGTTTTCACCACCATAGGTTTTATTTTATTTTATTTTATTTTTTTGAGAAAGCTGGTCTGAAAAAGGTTTTTCACTACCATAGTTGGCGATCTTGAAATCCAAAGGGGGTAGTTTCCTTAAATTCCAATTATGAAGACTTCCTATTGAACAC